GAAACTTAAGCAGAGCCCCACTGCCCCAGCTGTCAGGTCCCACAGAATCCAGCTGAATACAGTTGGGATGCTCATAAGCAAGGGCAGAATGGCAAAACTATCCTACTGGTCAAAATAGTAGTTGGAGGCATTGGTGTGAACAATAAATATTCATAATGCTATAGGGCAGAGGTCCCCAACCTTTTGGGCATCAGGGACCGGTTCCGTGGAGACAGGTTTTCCGTGGACCGGAGAGTGTGCGGTTTTGTGTGCTGCCTGCATCCCGTGGATGGGGCTTTCCTTGTTTGTGCGGATCAGTTGCTGGCATGCCGCGGACCGGTACTGGGCCACGGACCGGAGGTTGAGGACCCCCGCTTTAGGACTCAGGAACTTGTAGGACCATCGTTTTATCATTGACTCTTGCTTGCCATATAAAACTGGGCAGAGCTGTATTCTCCAAGTTTCATCAGTAAAGCAGTGTCACCGGACGAGAGCCAAGCAGCATGTCTTCTGTGTTGCTGTGATTCACCAGTGGAATAGCATCTCTTCCAAAGTCTATACAGCCCTGATTCCGTTAGCTTTCAGGAAAGTGATGATGGTTCTGGTTCTCCTCAGAGGCTCTGGGCCAGCCAGAACGGTGGCTGGGTCTGTTAAGCGTGATGCCTGGTTGATGATGCAACTGAAGTTGCTAAAGTGTAATATTTGATTTTGTTTTCTTCCTTGACATGGCTGTCTTTTAGTGATACGATTTTTTTTAAAAAAAAACCTCTTTTGATTTTTTTTAATCTTCTGTAAGTCATCCAGAACTGCAGATAGCTGTTTTTGAAAATTAAAATAAATAACTTGCACTATGCAATAAGCTCTTTTAATCACATTTATTTGTTTGTTTGTTTGTATTCCGCCTTTATTATTTTTACAAAGAAAGCAGCAAACATACTTAATACTCCTTCCTCCTTCTATTTTCCCCACAACCACCCTGTGAAGTGTGTTGGCTGAGAGAGAATGACTGGCCCAAGATCAGCCAACTGGCTTTCATGGTTAAGGCAGGACTTGAACTCATGGTCTTCCACTTTCTAGCTTTAACCACTGCTAGATCAAATTAGCTTTCGTAAGTATTTTGCTCTTTACTTGTTAGGTTCACCCATGGGTTAAGCCATAAACCATGATTTATGAGTCACAGTGGCTGGATTCACTGAAATGAAACTCAAGACAGCTAGGAGACGGCGGTCAAAAATGTCAAATTAGTAATTGTGATAATATTATCGAAGCTTTGCCTATTTTTAATATGGGTTATCAATCACATCATTGTGGTTACCATCTTGACCATTTTGACCACATCTGTGGACCTGGCAAACAACCCTTACCGTGATACCATATGTGAACCCAGTAATACATCCTGTTGAAGTCTACCTCTTATGTTTGCTGATAGAGATGTCAAGAAATTAGTTGTATTAGTTCCTTGTTGTCTACACAGCAACACTGACGGTGTTATTGTAGACAACAAGGAACTGCAGCAGCATTGCAACATTGATGGTGGCAACAGACAGACTCTTTTTGGAGCCACTATGACAGAGTTGGTGACAGAACTGCATTGGCACGAATTATCTACTTTCAGAAGAAATGGTCAGCTTTTGCCATGAAGGCATTGATTGCCATTCCTGTTTCTTCCACAGGAATGTGCCTAATGATCAGTATTTCTCAGCTGTGGCAACTTTAAAACATGTGGACTTCAACTCCCAGAATTTCCCAGCCAGCATCCTTTAAAATTTCTAAAATCCCTGCCATAGATACCACACCACCACTAGCGAAGAAAACAGACACAAAGGAGGAGCCTCAAGAGTATCGTGTAGAACAATCCTAGTTAAATATTACAATGTTCAAGGCTGATCTTTTTGTTCAAATATTAACTGGATTGTGCCTCAAGTAAAACCTAGTATCTGCAGAGGTGTAAAAAAATTCTATTATAAATAATGAACACTGGATGGCGCTAGATGCCAACATATGCCTATGCACCTAGTTATCCCCAATGTTTAGTATACTATTCTACAAGTTGGCTCAGAGATTGAATATATACCTGGATAATCGAATAAAAGTTTAAGAACATTAACTTACAAGTATATAACTTTAAAATATTTCAGGAGATTATTTCATTGTGTGCGCTGTGAATCATAAATGGGTTTGTTTAATTGTTAACTATGGATAAATCTGATTGGACTAGACCAGGGGTAGGGAACCTTGGCTCTTTTATGACTTGTGGACTTCAACTCCCAGAATTCCTGAGTCGGCATGGCTGGTTCAGGAATTCTGGGTATTGAAGTCCACGAGTGATAAAAAAAGCCAAGGTTCCCTATCCCTGGACTTGACCATATAATATATGATGATATATTGAAGTGGCTTCAATGTAGTAAGATGGCAGTACAGACCACAGGTACTTCCGCGTTTTCCTGGAAAGAAACTTCCTTTCTTTATACAGTTGGTACAGAACATCCAGGTAATCTATGTTTAATTTGCTGCAGGTTATTAATTTTTTTACATTTGTTCCGATTTGATTGGGGGGGAGGCAGATATAAGTTGCAGCATCCGTCAATACAGATGGATAAATGATCTCATGGGAATAATATCCAGAGATATGGTAGTGACCACTTTAGGCAGAGAGAACTACAGTACTAGTTGCAGATGCCAGAAAACAAATGCTGGAAATACCAGGGTGTAGAGAGTTTAATTACATTTATTCATTCCAGTGCCTGAAGTTTTTAGGGACATGGCTTTAAAACAGTCTCCCGTGAAGTTTGGAGCTTTCAAACTATCATACCCAATTAAAATGCTCCAACTAAAAAGATAAGCCGTGTTAGCAGTTAATGGTGTTTAGGCGGCCCCTTGTCTTTTACAGAAGCCACCTCCCTTTCCTCTCTCCTGGTATTCAATATTCTGCCTAACCAGTGAGCTACTTCAAGACTATTTGAAGGATGAGGAGTTTATACAGGCCTGAATAGGAATAGGAAGGTTCAATAGCCATTGCCATGGTCTTCAACTTTCCCTCAGTCATCACACTCATTTTTTTCCTCCCTTTGGTTCATACCTTTTGTTCTTTTAGCAATAAATCAACGATCACTTCAAATGTTTATACTGCAATTTAGTAACAATGAAGAAATATGTGCATCAATAAGATCAAGCTACTCCTACTGTCATAATTCCATTATTGGTAACAATAATTGAAGCATATGACTTGCTGCTCGGTATTCAGTTGCAGGGTGGGGTTAACATTATTTTTTATATAGCACAGCTTCTACACATAGCATTTCACAAACAATACATTCAATACATTCAAAGGGTCCCTGCTCCAAGAATCTTATAATCTATTCTAAAGCACAGAGAAAAGCAAAAAAAAAAAAAAAAAAAAAGTAGTAAAAGTGAACAGAGGAAGTATATGCAAACTTTCAGAGAACTTGCCTGTCAATGTATTGCAACGAAAATAAAAGTTGTGCAGTACACCAAATTAGGATTAAACTTCATGCATCTATAGATTAGGTTGGGTTCTGGGGTCTTATTTTAAGATGCAACAATGCCCTGGATGTGATTATTATGATTGCATAAAGTTTTTAGTTATAATAAAGTCCTAGATTGTTCCAAAGCCTTTCTGAAAAACGACATGAATTCTCACATAACAGAAACAAAAAGATAGGTACTAATTTTGAAATAATGGAGTCAGATATTTTTAGATACCGATAATTGGGATCAAGGATGCCTGAGATGAATGCTGAGACAGTTACTATATTTGGGAAATAAATTGCTCTTTCAATATTAAATTTATACACACCAAATTATATTTAAGTAAGTTTAATGTAGTACCAAAATATAATACAGTAAAGGCCATGATTTCTAATGATAAACACTTTTAAAGTAATCTATTATTACTTTCACTCATTAAATAAAAAACCTTTTATAACTGGTTTGTATGAAGATAAATCATTATTTTAATCGTGGGATAGAGGCATTTTGTGCAATGGCTGCCATAAATCTCACATATTACAGGTGTTTCCCTAATTTTTCAATATTTGCAATCATAATAATTATAGCAATAGTTAAATACCTTCCCTCACAAGTACTAAGCCTGGGTTAGCCTTCTGCAACAGCTGCGCATTCCCAGGTCTGGACTGATTGCTCCACAGGAATGTATAAAAGAGCTCAGAGTGAGTCGCTTTATTCAGAGGGTGCAAAGCTGAGGAGCAATTTTACCTGTAATGTCACGCCAATCTACAGCACGCTAATCATGCTTAATCCCTTCCTGCCATTTGCTTGCAACGAAGGTCATGCTTTGAATGCTTACATTTCAATAGAATGTAAGCATTGTTATTGTCTGGTTGGGAGGCCATTGGCGTAAAAATTCCAGATGTGGAAAAAAAAAAAAAGTTGGTAGCATCTCTCCAAGCTTGGAGTTGAGTGGTATCTGCGTGCTGCTCACTTCCTTGTCGTGGGAATCAAGCGATGCTGTGAAATGCATTGACAGTGAACGAAGCTGTCAAAGAGCTAGGCCAACTTGAATTAGTTGAAAGGTGGTTTGTTTTTCAACAGAGAAGGAGAGAGAGGCAGTGTATCCAGGTATGGGAGGGTGAGAAAAAGAAATAGGAAAAATATGATACATATTAATATATATGAGGGTTATTTGAGGGACCACCCATTCTCTGATTACAGCTGCCCCTTCCACCAGATCTAGCAGAAAGGGTAGGCTGTGGATCGTAATATTAATATTTGTTTGTATATATTGTTTTTAGCTTTGTTATATGTCACTGTCACTTGTCTGAGAGATGGATGGCTATATACTGTAAATATGATGAATAAATAAATAATATAGGACACTATCACTTGAGCATATTGTGGCAGCAGAGAAACAGAAGCAGTACACACTAAGTGGCAAGTGGAATACTTGCCACTTGTTACACACAGGGGATTTTGTGAATATATGGTACATGAAATTTTCAATTATTACCTAAAAGAAAACGATTTTTAAAAATCAAGGATACTCCAGGTACATTTGCATATTTTATTTTTCAACAATAGAACTCGAGATTGATAGATTCAGAATGTGCATTTAACGTTTCTACCTTGTATTTTTTATTTGTGCAAACCACAGCGTGACATGGCCAGTAATAAACATGTTTTATCTATTTTTCCAGTCATCATCAGTTAAAGGAAATTTTTATTTGGTCAATAAAGTTTTCATGCTAGTCTAAATAAAATTGTATCTATAGATTGGCATTAAAGGGGACCAGTAAATAATGCTGTAGTTTTCAACACTAACATAAAGTGTCAAGTTAGTTAATGCGCCTCTTTAAAAAAAGCTCTTTTTCTTTTCAGTTACTCTTTATTTTTAACTTTCCAGCTGCAACTGTTTTTTGCTCCGATCTCCATCTTTCCAGTATTGCTCTGTCTGCATTTCAGTAAGTCGCGAGATAGTACGTTGAAAGGCAAATATCTCTTCCTCTCCCGTAAACATAGAAAGTGCTTCAGCTGAATCCTAGAGACGGGTAAAAATAAAAGTACAGGGATTATTGGGAAAAAAGCCATTGTGGGCTTCTTGCATGGGACCTCAGTTGTGAAATTCCACTGCACAGCAACACAAAGAATTCTTTAGTACAAGTCGCCCTTGTTTAGTGACCATTTGCAGTTAGGACAGTCATGAAAAAGCAACTTTATGACCACCCCCTGCCTTTCTGACCTTTACAGGTGTGTAAAGAATTTAGTGACCACTTATCAAGTTGCCAGTCCCAATTGTGGTCATTAAGTGAGGACAACCTATAACAAAGAGGAAGACACATAGACCACCAAACCACTTTGCAACTGGATCTCTGGCTCAAAGGGGAGCCTCACTTGTATCCAGATCCAGGAGTTAGCTCATCTCAACTTACTCCAGTTTCTGAAACATTAACAGGAAACCCTAACCCTAAATACATTCCCATTACTTTCTAAACACTCCCAAACTTTATTTACATGTATTGGTTGATGTTTTACTTGTGTTTGTATGTATAATGTGTTATCGGTGTTGTGTATCAGTGACTGCATGACCTCTGTAGATGTCATACGCTAAATAAATAAATAAAACTCCCATTGCCTATCCCTGACCTAACTTAACATTACCTAGTGTGGGGAGGGCAGAAATATATAAATGTATCCATGCCTTTGTTTTTTTACGCTTCACTGGAATGGAATTACCTTTCAGGTAAGCAGGATAGTTAGAAGGGCCAAACCCCAAATTTCACAGGAAACAGTGGAGAGGGTGTCAGGTATTAGGGTTTTTTTTAAACTTCTTTAACTACCTGTCCAGACCATTTTTGTTGCATTCCCAGTAATCCATTTTGAGGGGAGGGTAAAAAGAGATGAAGAATATAAGCTGAAGTGAGAACAAGTGAGAAAGAGAATGAGGAGGTTAGAAAAACAGAACAGTTTGTGTGCAGGTAAGAACCCTGTCACATAAAACAACTTCCTGCACAACAGTGGGCAAAGACCGCTGTGGCAGTGAATATACATCCATTGCTCTCTCTCTCCGTTGCCATGAACAAAGCCTGTCCCAAACCTGCTGGGACTGGGGCAAATTGCCAGAAAGGATCATCTGAGGATGGAGCTGCCTGGTCTCAAATCCAAAGCTTGACCTTCACACCAAGATGTTGCAGAGTATGTGCTAAATCCCCTTTTGAGTTTGTTACCCTGTCCTTTCCAGTGAGTGAAGTACCTATAGAAATGGAGGTACATGAAGGATTTTAAGGGCATTTTTAACTGCCTTTGTCCTGCCTAGAAAGTATTCAGAATTGCTTTATTCCGGGTCAGGGTTACGGTCCCCACCAAATTGGAACACAGCCCTAATAGCAAAGCGTCTGAATTCTTTTGTCTTCCTTTTGCATTTTCAGTAAATCAACAAACCATCAAGATGAAAACTTTTAAAATGACACTAAAAAATAAAATAAAAAAAACATTGGATATGGCATATGAAGGGAGAGGAGATTTTAAGAAAACATGCAAATGTTTTAAACATTTTATCCAAAATTTCTACTGGAAGCAATTACCTAATATTTCAGAACAAATCTCAACTTTGTTTTTTTTTTTTTTTTAGCAATTATCAATCTTGATTAGAAATAGCTTTAAGTTGAAAAGTACATTGATTACAATGGTTCTGAATAATATCGAAAGTCAATCTTTGTCAGTAAGGTACTATCTATGTCACTTTTTAGAAATCCTCTGAGCTGGTTAAGTCTGGCATTTTTATCATATCAATGTTTCAAAAAAACTTATCATAGAAACTGACCTACCTTTGTTTTCCAGGGGGGGGGGGAAGTGTTTCTCATCCACAAACCATTCCTGGAGATTTCAAATGGCGGCCAAATAGCCATTGGTTGAGAATTGCTCAGAATTTCTCCTCTGAGCACCCACAAACTCTAGGATTTGGGTGCAAAGTCAGCGTAAGACTTTATAGAGATAAAGGTCCAGGCTCTCTTGAAGAAAGCCAATTGTATAGGTATCGTTTTGAAGTTCTGTGGCCTTGATGACCTTTACCAAGAAAGGCACAGGAGAGTGACTGGAACAATCCTTTTGTAACCTTTCAGCAGCTTAGCAAAATAGTACTTATTGCCCAGGAAATCTATTTTCATTGGGAAATGCTGATAGTAATTTTTCATTTGCAGCAGTTAACTCAAGAATTCTCACCCTGCAATTAATATTTTTTTTTTGGGGGGGGGGAATGATAAAGCATTCACAAGAAGATATTGCGCATTAATGAATATTTATGAATGACTGCAGTGGGGGTTTTGTTTTGTTTTTTATGCATATTGCGGGAAGTGGTGTGTATCAGCTCCCTTCCATGTGAACCTAAAGTAAAAAGATGCTTATAGATGCTCCCTATTCTAACAGAACTTCTAACTGATACACAGCTTAATGTCTTGAGTAAAACAAGTACAATGAATTGCAGTTGACCCAATATTTTCAATGCATTAGAAATATATTCCTAGATTTGTGAACATTTATGATCCTAATCCATAAATAAATAGCATTACATTAAATTACAGCAGAAGGAAAAATGCTACACTGAACCTGCAGCAAAGCTGCAGAATGACCCTCTAAATGATTTTTTTGTTTTACCATAATGCCAGCACAAAGACCCAAAACAATTATGCTCTCTTGCAACAAAGGCACTAATGTTCAATAGTGGTTACCTGGCTCAACCCCAAATCATCCATCAGTATCCTTTTCTCATCCTGTCCACTATCATGGTCCGCTTGAATAAATATACTCTGGAGGGGAGCTGATGCAGAGCAAATAATCCGCACCTGGAACAAAGAAAAATGGCTGAAGTTCATCATCTAGAGTTCTTATTTCTCCAATGTCCCAAAGGTGCTTTTTCATGAGGCAACAGGACTTTCTTTTTTCTCTTAAAAAAGAATACTTTTAAACAGAATACTTTTGAAAGTTCACTTATAACAACTGAGGTAGGTAACAGATTTTTGATTTTGGTGGTATAAATTGCACTCCTGAACAATGCAGAAGGGTATAGAGGTGGCACCATCACTCAGTTACAAATAACCTATTTTCGCAATAGCTTTTAAAATAAAGAAACAAATATACACTTAGATACTGAATTGCTATTTCAACCTCAATCAAAAAAGTACTTATTATTATTGGTAGGTTATTGGTAGGGCAATATTGGAAGAAAGAGTCCTTGCCTACTATAGAAGAATGGACGTTTAAGGTGTCAAATTTAGCAGAAATGGCAATTTCTGCCTATTTGAAGGATCATTCACAAGAAAGATATATTTCGGTTTGGAGAAGATGGATAGATTATATTCAGAATAAATATGGGATTAAAAAGTTTCATCTAGTTTATGAGTAAATTTTAGATTAGTACTGATAATATAATAACTCATTTTAGATTTTGTATTACTATGGTTTAATTAATATTGACTTGTTTATATTTGACTTTGTTTTAATTTGCTTATATTTATCTTAAGTGGGAGTTAAAGTATTTTATGGATTTGGTTACTTATATAGTTGGGTAACGTTAATTAGAATTTGATTATTAATTTGTAACCCTGTACTCAACTCTGGGAAGTGGGGGGAGGGTTAGGGGTGGGTGGGTTTTGGGATACTGTATAAAACTTTTCAATTTAAAAAAAAGTACATTGTATTTACACATCAGGCCATCGCACTATATCATCACTAATCCAAATTTAGATGACAGTCTGTTTTTATTCAGTTTTTAAAAAATATTTTTGTCTTATACATTATTAAGATGCAGGGAAAAATCAGGTGAGAGATTCCAAAACCAACCTTTCAGCCCAGGGATAAAACTAAGAAAGCAGGGAAGCATGCATGCTGGCTACCCATATATAATCCCTGTCAACTTCTTGGATTAGAGGCCTGTGGACAGCTTATTGAAATACAGGTCTAAGATACACACACACACACACACACACACACACACACACACACACCCCTTCATCCAGTAATGCCAGTCATTATCTTTCCTTCTAATACGAAAACTTTTAGATCCAGCTGTCCAAGAGCTCCAAAACACTGGAAAGCAAACCAGGTTTCCTTAGAAACTCCTCATAGATTCTTAAATGTCTGCTTCATTCTATTAACCATTTTGGCTTGACAGCTTACAGGTGCAGCATTTTTCAGTCAATTAAAGCAAAAATTTCTGAGAAAATACTTGCCTGGCAGGAAAGAGATGCAAAGCAATTGCATTTTTTTTTTTTAATGGACAGGTAATGGTCAAGGAATCTTTTCCAGCTTCAACCTTTGAAAAACGCAGCAGGCTAGTAACTAGTAACAACACTACGCTCTTTGGGAAAAATACTTTTTTTTTCCTTCAGGACTTCTGGAATGACTATAGTATGTGTCATACTATGCTGCTGTCCTTCCAGGAAAGGCCACGGAAAGAAGAAGTTCTTTTGCAAAGGGACTGGGACTTCCGTAAATGATCTCTAGATGTATTAAATATAGGTCCAGGTGATCCTTGTTAATTTAAAACGAAGAGGTATTTCTAGGACCCTCTTTTTTAAATTTTGAGATGAGAATATATGCTAATTAGACAATGCTTGAGGACAATAGCATCATTATGGATTCTTCTACATAACTAATATTATTTGTCCTTATGAGATTTACCTCAGAATGGAAACATTTGGTTAGTTTTCTTTCCTTTAGCTCTTGGGAGGTATTGTAATAAATATGTCAAGCCTCTGAAAGACACAGTCATTAAGCATCCTCTCCTTTAACTGCAGTCTCACTATGGGTGCATTAGTTGGATTTCGGAGAAGCACGTGTTAGTCTATTTGCTTCCTTTCCGATGCTCCTACTTTGTTCAATAGGAAAAGGATTATACTTGTGCATTGCTCTCTGCTGAGGGGAATTATTAATAGAAGCCAGGCTGTTGGGAATTTTTATTCTGACCTAACCAGAACTTATTTGCATTTTCTGGGATCATGTATGGATAACAACATAATCAGACCATCTCCCCATTTCAAAGTAATTCTCATCCCACAAGCAATTAAAAATTAAAATTAAAACGCATGTATATATTTCAAATGAAATATAATGGAACATACTATTTTGTGAGAAAATACATTTAAAGATACACATTTAAACACACAATTTTGCGCAGCCATTTTAAAAACCCCATAGATTCGTCTGGAAACAGGAGAAAATAATCCTATGAATGTACCTAAGAAAACAGAAAACTGACATGGAACAGAAATAGACTGATCTCTCCCTTCGTATGTCCATGAAAAAACTGATAACAGTTCTTATGGGCCATAATGACAATAGCACCGAGGGAATTTCTGTTTTACTTTCTCTCGTGTTATCCAGGAAGGATAAGAAATCTCTATTGTAGCTTTTAACCACCAAGCAGATTCTCTGGTATGGCAGAAAGAAACATCCCCCAATGGGTTAATCTTCCCCAGTGCTGCAGCTGCAGAGGTATAGTTTAAACTGTCACTATGTATTTGAGGGGACAATTAGGTTTCCTTTTTTTCTTTTCCTGGAGAAGATTTAGTCAAAAGAACAGAACATGATCCTGGGATGAAAGGGATTGCAGAAGTGAACAAAGTTAGCATTCAGAAAGAAAGGTAAATCCTTCAGGAAAGTATTCATGTAAGGGTGATCGCTTGTATGGAACTGTACGGTTACAAAAGCAGGACGTCAGGATATAGCAAATGAAGTACAACATATAAGAAGCCCAAGGGATCATACAACAGAAGTCCATTGAGACAGGCTCAAAGGACAAACTTGAGACGTAGAGGGGGACAGTGATCTGCCTTAAAAAATGACGACCACCAGACAGTACACTGCTGCTTAAAATTCACCTAAAGGATAGAAACACTGGCGTTCCTTCTCTAGGAGGTCAAAATCGGGAGCTCTGAGGTTGTGTGGTACTTGGGAAACAATGCTTGTGATAAAGTCCAAACACGTTACACACATGTAGCATTAGAGGAAAGAAGTAACCCCACTTTGTTCTGCTAATAAAAAACATCTCTCTGACATCTGTTCATACAGAAGTGCTATGCTGCTCAAGGAACTAAAACTAAAACCACTGAGTGGCATTTAGTCAACAGAAACTGTATTTTCTGGAAATGGCCCACATTTCTTGCTGAACTAGAAGGTATGTGCCCCTGTGTGTGCATTTCTTTCCCAGTACATTTTTAAAAAGAATTTAATCTCAATCGATATTTCCTGATTGCATAAATATTTAAGTGCATGTCTATAATCACACATAAGGTGAAGCTTAATATCTTCCATTACATTTTAAAACATCAGCTTAAATACAAAGAACCTTTAAGTTGTTTTAATATTGCTGATTTTCCTTCCATGATTGAAACCTTCGTAAATCTAAGTGCAGCATTTATCATTACTATTTCATTAGGGGTTCCATAACTCAGACTAAAAGTAAGAGTACTTGTTTATTTTAAATTGAGTATCACTTTGGGGCAAACTCATTAACATTTTACTCATCTATGCGTTTTGGAAACTAAATCAACACATACGCATACATGCAAAATAACCTGGAATAACTACCCAACAAAAGTCTGTAAGTGGTTTGAACAGAACTATTGTCTGGAGTCAAAACGCTGTGCAATTTCTCAGCAAAATTGGTTAAAACAATTTAATCAGATGAATTTGACACAACAGGCAGCGGCAAAATAGACTGAATATTTTCTTTTATCTTAAAATGATTTGGAAAAGAATTTGGTAGATAGCAATGCTTTTGCTTTCCAGATAAAGTGCTCCCTACACCCCATATTATGATTCAGGGTCACTGAATGAAAATGTTTGGCAGGAGATCCAAGAAAGAAAAATCAAAGGCCAAATTAAAACGTTTTATCCTACCTTTTTTATATTTGATCAGCTCAAGGTGGCAAATACAGGGAGACAGTAAATTCTACTCCCACCTTAGGTGCAAAGCAACAGGCTGTGGGTGATTTTAGGCCAGTCACTCTTTCCCAGTCTTAGGAAGCAGACATCAATGACAAAAATTTCTATGTGTATGTTTGTGTGTGTGTGTCTGTGTGTGTAGATTGGTAGTTATCTACATTTTTGAGATACAGATTATGCAGAACATCAGATGAAGGAAATCAGCATAATATCTGAGGTAAATGTCCTTACTATCCTTTTCCACATAAATCCAAAGAAAAAGTCTAAAAAGACCCCATTACCACGAATGTTTCCGAAATAGTCTAGGTTATGAAAGGCTGAAAGCACTTGAAACTCCAAACTATGTCATCTTTAAAAAGTGATTAAGAAGAACTCTCCTAGGGGGGGCAGGGGGCGGGGGGACTCTTCTTCCCCCATTGGGGGAAATATTTTGTTTCTACTGTGCAAAGTTGTTTGAGGTATGCATATTTCCTCAGAGAGGAAGATTAATCTGGGCTTTCCTGGGCTGATCTGCCTGCTTTTTTAAAAAAAATTCTATAATCTTTCATACAAACCTATAGGAATTTTGGAGGCAAGTACATCTGCACAAATGTTTGTTTGAAAATGTTGATGTGTCACATACCTTTTGCTTTTAGTTTTTCAAGAGGCTGCCCTTGTAAGGGTTTTGTTTTGTTTTTGCAACAAAAGAATTTAATGGCATATTTCTCTCCTATAGGAAGTTGAACCGCTCTACCTTTCAGACTGTTTGAATGCTCAGTTTTGTTTTCCCTTTTTGTGAAGGTGCAATTTCATAAAGTGAGACACAAGAATTACACACTTTGCTTACAAATCCTAAATTTGCCCATTTGTTGAATAAAAAACACTATGTGGAAATTCAGTTACATCTGTTCGGTTATCTTAATCCTAATCTTTACTAGTCACGGACAATGTTGCTGCTTTAGTGACTTCATCTAGCTTTAAAAAAAAAATAAAAATTTTCCTGTCAGTCGTACCCAATCTGCACTGCGATGCTCATCTCCGTTTCCTGACCAAGGCAGCCAGCTTTGTCCAAAGACTATTTCTGTGGTTATTTGGCCAGCATGGTTATACCCCAAAGGTGTAGGGAATGCTGTTACTTTCCCACCAAAGTGGTTTCTATTTATCTACTCGCATTTGCATGCTTTCAAACTACTACACATTGCAAGGCTGCATTAACAGAGGGATAGACTCAAGATCATGTGAGGTGTTAATACCACTTTACAATGCCTTGGTAAGGCCACACTTGGAATACTGCATCCAGTTTTGGTCACCACGATGTAAAAAAGATGTTAGGACTCTAGAAAGAGTGCAGAGAAGAGCAACAAAGATGATTAGGAGACTGAAGGATAAAACATAGAAGGAATGGTTGCTGGAATTGAGTATGTCTAGTTTAATGAAGAAAAGGACGAGGGGTGACATGATAACAGTGTTCCAATATCTCAGGGGCTGCCCCAAAGAAGAGGGAGTCAAGCTATTCTCCAAAGCGCCTGAAGGCAGGACAAGAAGCAATGGGTGGAAACTAACCAAAGAGAGAACAACCGAGAACTAAGGAGAAATTTCCTGACAGAACAATTAATCAGTGGAACCACCTGCCTCCAGAAGCTGTGAATGCTCCAACACTGGAAGTTTTTAAGAAGAAACTGGACAGCCATTTGTCTGAAATGGTATAGGGTTTCCTTCCTGAGCAGGGGGTCAGACTAGATGACCTCCAAGTTCCCTTCCAACATAATAGTAATAATAATAATAATAATAATAATAATAATAATAGTAATAATAATAATAATTGAGCAGCAGCTGGGGCAAGTAATGGGAGCTCACCCCATTGCGCCAAGCTCAGTTCTCGAACCTGGGCTGTCAGCTCTCAAGCTGACAAGTTCAGTGTCTTTAACTGCTGAGCCATTGTAAATGTTAATGCAGCTGGCATCTAAAGGAGAAAATGCAGTAATTTAAATACAATTAGACAACACATTAATCTTAACAGTCAAGGCTTTGATAGCTCACATGGTAATGCAGTGTGATCAATGAATATATGTTGATGCTTTGCTAGGCATTAATTAATTCATTAACATTCAGATTTCCAAAACAATTCAAGATGCACTCATCTTATAAGAACCTGCAAACCAAATACTTACCTTTTTTTCATAAAAGGTATCAATGAGAGTGATGAAGCGTCGAGCTTGGGTTCTTTTTGCCATTGTAAGGAGAGGTATATTATGAACAAAAACCAGATCAAAATTCTTGGATATTTCCAAATAATCACTGGCTCCAAGAGGCTGAAATGGGAAATAAGAAGTGGGAAACCAATAGATTGACAGTCACATTTCAAAAGGTAACAAAAATGCTGACTTCTGTTTAAATCAGCTGAAAAGTCCATTCACATCAGTGAGAAAAAGTTCCTCAAGATGGTAAAAATTGGGTTTTCTTGTCCTAATCGATCAAATGCTTTTCCATTTTGCTTCCCCCTCAGAAAAGGAAAGGGAAAACTAAATATATGGATTTTAATAAACATGCATATTTTGTTCTAATTGATTAAAAGCACATTTTTTCCTTTATTCTCATATCTATACTGTAATAAAGTAGGATAAGACTGAAAGGAAAATAAGGGTGTAAGGATAGCAACACATCACTTATAGCACCAGAATCTTTTTTATTTGAACTACTCTGGACTTCGGGTCTATCACAAGTTGCCACAGACAACTCGCTGCAATCAATTTGGCATGGCCAACTTGCCATAGCCAACTGGCCACGGCCAACTTGATGCCGGAAAATTTGCCACGGCCAAGACAAAAGTTAGAGTAATATCAAAGAAATGATGAAAAAGAATTGTTAAAGAAAGGATGCAAAAGAAAGGACAGAATGAAATGTGAATGGTAAAAATTAAAATAATTTTTAATTTATTTTAAATAATTAAATAGAATTGTTAAATTGTCTGCAGAGAGTTGTCCCACAGCGAGTTGGCTGTGTCAAGTTGACTTTGGCAAGTTGGCCATGGCGAGTTGGCCGCAGTGAGTTGGCTGTGGCAACTTGTCCCATTCCTCCCTGGACTAACACAGCTCGCCTTCTATAACGTTTCTGAAGCAAAAAGGCAGTCCTTGGTTAATGACTATTCATTTAATGACTATTTGAAGTTGTGGCAGCACTGAACAAAAGGTATGTCTGGTCCCTAAAGTTATGGCCATTGCAGCATCTCATAATCATGTGCTAAAAATCTGGCTCCCTGGCAGCCAGCTCACAGTTACAACTGCCAGTGAGTTTCAAACCCCCTCCCCATCTCTGCCCTTTTGGCTGCCCTGCACAGTGGCACTCGTTGGCAGTTCCACAATTGAAGTAGAGGTCCAGGGCCTTCAGCAGTGTCAGCCAGCCACTATCAGCCATGGGTTTCAGCTCCAGCGTCACTAAGTGCCACCTGAAGACCTGTCCTGCGGCCAGCCACCCAAGTGCCATAGGGTAAAGTCCCAACCACTCCCACAGACCTGTGCTCCACTGGCCTTGTCGCCCACAGCTGACCTTCACCATCTTCTTCCTACTGTTGCTGACAAAGTGTGCCCAGTATGGGAATTAATCAAATCTGCAGAAGACACCAAGTTGGCAGGAAGAGCCAACACCCCAGAAGACAGGCTCAAGATTCAGAAGGATCTCAACAGACTTGAACACTGGGCCCCAGCTAATAAAATGAAATTAAAATGTAGAGAAAAGTAAGGTTTTTACATTTAGGCAAGAAAAACCTAATGGACAGGTAAAGAATAGGTGGAAAAAAGCAGTAACTGCAAGAGGGATTTAGGGATCCTAGCAGACAATCATTTAAATATGAGCCAGCAGTGTGCTACACTGCCAAAAAGGCCAATGCAGTCCTAGGCTGCATCAACAGAGGGACAGTATCAAGATCACATGAAATCTTAGTACCACTTTATAACGCCTTGGTAAGATAACACTTGGAATACTGCATCCAGTTTTGGTCGCCACAATATAAAAAAACAAAAGATGTTAAGACTGTGGAAAGAGTTCAGAAAAGAGCAGCAAAGATGATAAGGGGATTGAAGCTAAACCATATGAAGAATGGTTGGAGGAACTGGGCATGTCTAGTTTAATGAAAAGAAGGACTAAGGATGAGATGAGTGCAGTGTTCTGCCACAAAGAAGGGGGGGGGGGTGTCAACCTGAAGGCAGGACAAGAAGCAATGGATGGAAACTAATCAAGTAGAGAAGTAACTAAAGAAAAATTTCCTGATGGTAAGAACAATTACCATTGGAATGGCTTGCCTCCAGAAGTTGTGGACAATCATTTGTCTGAAATATTAGAGTATAGCCTGATATTGTAGATATAGGAAGTTATTTTATATAGCAATAGCACTTAAGATTTATATACCGCTTCACAGTGTTTTACAGCCCTCTCTAAGTGGTTTGCAGAGTCAGCATCTTGCCCCCAACAATCTGGGTCCTCATTTTACCCACCTGGAAGGCTGAGTCAACCTTGAGCCGGTCAGGATCAAACTCCTGACAATGAGCAGTGAGTTAGCCTGCAAGGCTACATTCTAATCACTGCGCCACCATGGCTCTTATACCATCAAGTGTTAAATCCCGTTTGCTTAATACTGTCCATTTTGACACTGATGCTCTGACTCTTCACTATGCAGTGAATATACTGAAATGATCCTTATTAAGCAGTTGTGGGGAAAAAAGCTGTAAAATTTTATTCTCTGGGTATGCAATAATATCCTTCCTTGTGTTTCTTGAAAAACTATCGCAATTTTCTTGAAAGAGCCAGACAAGTTACTGAAACTATCTGGAATCCAGGACTTTGTTTTCTATGAAGGATTGGTTCAGTATTGCAGGCTGCACAGCTTGTAATGGTGATGCGCTTTATTTATGAAAATATTACCTCTTTGAAGAACATGCTGTCCTCTTTTTAATAGCCTAGGTTTGAGAAAATATTTCTTAAATCGTGTAATTTGCTCTGTAAATAGCCAGTGTGTTTGACCTGAATACTCAATGCAGTTCAGGTATCTTCTTTGAATGTAAATTTCCAATTCAAGTTTCAGATGAGATTTCATGACACATTGTTCCACCTTTTTATAATCATCTGAGAGGCCAACAACTGTAGGCCTCTGGATGTGGCAAAGTTATAAAACCAGCAACCTTATGGAGCAATAGCTACATTGACTAACACAATGAGTTTTAGTTTACTAATGTTTGGAATTTTACAGGTTCCCAAGCCTTATGTCTATAACACACTGTAGAAAATGAATGTAGGTGACTCTTTAAAAAGATAATTATTGGAATCATGCTCCATTGATGTTAGACTTTTGTCTAACGTTGTCCTTTTCCTTCCCAGTCCTTCCTTGCAATTAATTCTCTGATCAAATTTGGAGAGCAGTCATCAGCCAGCCCCTATTTATATTTCACACTTAAATTAATTTTATGATGTTTTAACTTTTAGAAGTTAATACAGAAAAGAAATTGCTGACTTTCCTGCAAGTAATAATAACTTTTGTGATTTAAAGTTGGTTTTCTGTCTTTTTGCTACCATAGAAATGATGGATGATGTGAGAGTTTCTACTGATAATCCTTAACATGGAGGAGTAGGATTTTATTAACATTAGGCTAACTTCAAATTCATTCATGGCAATTCAGCCTCATCTATCTTTAGCCCATTTTAGTCTACAATCTAAGTGATTCTTTTTTCAATTTAACTGCCAAGTTAACAAAAGTACAACTGTCATTATCCCTGCTCAAATTATTTTTAGAGGTACATATTAAAGCATTCTCAGAAATAATGAGCAATAGATATTTTTCTATTAGTGGCATATTTGCATGGTGATAGCTTTGAGTGTTTTTACATCTGAAGAAAGTGACAGTCTTCTCCTTTGCCGTGGAATTATTCATCAACAGCACTATCAGCTTAAAAAAAATAATTATAAAAGAACAGAAAACCGAAGGAAGTACTACTATTTCTGAAATCTGTCCTGTGCTATTTATTTAGAGCTAAGAAAATGTACATCCAGACCTATTAATTGTTCTAATAGGCAAGGCAATTATTGGTTTTAGCACTCTGGGGTTCCTCTATTTTATTTTGATTGGATTTCTGTTTTATTTATTTATTTAGAATTGATTACTTTTGTTAAGATGGCAAGAATAAGGGTTAATCATTTGGACAGAGAATATAACCATGGAGGCAGTTGTGTTGGTTTTGCAATAATAAACATTTCGCAATTATTGTCAATGATAAAAACATTCCTTGTAGAATCCTTTTTTTTAAATTTATTGTAAGCACTTGCATAATTAGAGTGTTCCAATATCTCAGGAGTTGCCACAAAGAAGAGAGAGTCAAGCACCTGAAGGCAGGACAAGAAGCAACGGGTGGAAACTAATCAAGGAGAGAAGCAACCTAGAACTAATGAGAAATTTCCTGACAGTTAGAACAATTAACCAGTGGAACAACCTGCCTCCAGAAATTGTGAATGCTCCAACACTGGAAGATTTTAAGAAGAGATTGTCTGAAATAGTATAGGTTTTCCTGCCTGAGCAGGGGGTTGGACACTAGAAGACCTCCAAAGTCCCTTCCAACTCTTCTCTTCTCTCCTCTCCTCTCCTCTCCCATTCCCATTCAGCTCTAGATGCATTTCTTAAGGTTGCTGGTGAACAATCCCTCAGTTTTCAGATTATACACCTTCTTCAATACCAATAAAACAGCAAACAAATCAAAATATAGAACTCCAGAATTATAACCTTCACTTATAACATATGCATATCCTGTTTTAGAATCATAATCTTGGAGGGAATAATTCAGGCCACATAGTCCAATATCCTGCACAATTTAGGAATCCAGATTAAAGCATCCCTGACAGATGACTGACAGGCATGAACTTTAAAATAAACACATTCACTGAGGAGGAGCCCACATTTGGCTGGGATTAATATTACCTACCATTGGCTAATGCTCCCCACCATAAGTAACCATTCCTTTTCCATCCTATTCCTGGTCTATGACTTTAATACACACACAATTTTTTTTAATATATATACATATACCGGTAGATAGGTGCATGTCTAATGTTTGTGCTGTTGTTTTTAAAACAAAACAAAACAAAAACTGTACAATTCCTTAGAGTAGTATTGTTAGAAGAAGCTTCTATAAATGGAAAAAAAGGAAATGAACAGGTATTGGTTCCCTTATTTCCCTTATACTTAAGACCATTACTAAGTCTGCATCAGTAAGATCACTCTGTTCTTATTGGGAAACTGTAATCTTTGCTCAAGCTTAATTATATCAAAAAGTTATTGCTACCATCAGAGGGCGTATTTGCTACACAGACATATAGTTTCAAGGGTTTTGTTGTTTAAAGTGATAGCTACAAAAGTATAGAGAAGGATGTTATTATCAAATTTTCTGGGCTTATTTAAAAATCATCTATATTTCAGAAGATAAATTTGTAATAAACATACACTGATAACTTTTAAGTTAAATTATACATACTAAAGAAAACCTTAAATCAATGGGTTTGACATGAAAACACTAGTTTTTAGTGATCATAATAACTTAGCTGTTAAGTTGTTGCAAAAATGAAGTTATGAGCAAAAAAACATTTATTATTATAATAAATATATACAGCCACATTCAGTCATCGCTTCCTACATAATTATTTGGAGCTCCACAACTGATTATGTCAAGCCACAGTCAGCTTCGGCCTCTTACATTCAATTGTTTTCTATGAAATTAGGAATAAGATTAAAAAAAAACCTCTCACCTATCAGAGATTCATAATTTTAATTTAAGTAACTGTGATTAGCTATAACTATGATTGAGAGAATCAAACATGGAAATGCTGCTCTGACAAGCCCTTATGAAGAAATATTCCAGGTCAGAATTTGGTGGATAGAACTGAGATTTAAAAAGTGGATGTTTTCATACTCCTTTTGGCATATAGGCGCAAAAAGACTAAAGCCTGTTTCAGTTTGTTCATGCTTGTCTAGTTCGCTTACACTAAACTACAGATTTGCAGAAGTCTGAATTCAATCACGTATTAACAGCCTAAGTTTCCAAACATAATTATGAAGTAGAAAAATAGCAGAAACTGAATATCAGCAGACTTAAGGGAAAGGACCACATTCTCACAAGGGAGAAAATCTGGCATATCATTACTATTAAATCTCAATTTGTACTTTCAATTCTTACATTTTCTAACACTTTACTTTTATTAAAAATAGTGTGTTTATGCTATTTTAAAAAAAAAGTCAGCCTCTATTGCTGAGCTTACAGACCCACTGCCCTGAAATGCAATGGACCTCATAAATACAAATCTTGAACAAAAGGAATTACTCTTTTTTTAAAGAAAAATCTTTTTGAACCAGTCTTCTGAACAAATGAAAGGAACTAATGTCACAAGGAATTTTCTCCCTAAACAATGAGGCAGCATTAGAGGAATACAGTCAACTTACGTCTAGTTGTTCACCAACCATTCAAAGTTACAACGGACTCCCTCCCAAAAGGATTTACAACCCAGTTTTGAAGTACCGATGTCACCTTCCCGCAGTCACATGACCGCATTTTGAGGGCTCAGCAAAATAAATCCACATTTACAGCTGTTTGCAACATCCCATTGCAAAGTAGAACTATAAACACTAACAAGATGAAAAAGCAGGTACAGGGTGTTTCTCTTCAAAGTAACCTGTGATATTTAATGTCAGTGCCTTTTTTAAGAAAAAGAATCTGTTGGTGATTCTGCGATTTACAATGTTTTTGCCAGAAATCGGCATTTACTTCTAGTTTCTGGCAAAACCTGGCCCACGGCTTTAATGACCATAGTGTTAACGATTGCCACAAAAAAGCCATCAAATGGGTCTAGTCAGATCTGAGCTGCTTTACAACTGTCAAAACTTAATTGTCAGGCTCAATTATGGTTGCAAGTTAAGGATAATTATGGTTGCAAGTTAAGGATAACCTCCACATTGTTATAGATATATTTTGATACTTTTTTCAGTTTGAACATTCAGGGCTTTTTTTGTCACAGAATGCCCAGAATGGAGTTCCGGCACCTTTTTTGGATGGAATCTTGTAGGGTAGGCAAGGCGGGTTGTATGACGTGTGTGAGTTCTGGCACCTTTTTTTTTTTTTTTTAGAAAAGAAGCACTGTGAACATGTATTTTAACCATACTCCATGCAATCTTGTAAGTCCAAGATAAAGCCCCTTTTTTCTGTAGGCACTTGAATGTCAAAAGCGATATGATTCCTGCCTCTTGACTGTCTCTAACATCTCTCATAGTCTCAGTACTCATCAAGAATACTTCCCCAGTACCTATTTTTCAGTCAAAGCAACTTGTATAACATGGGCAGCAAGGAAGCAGACATGCCCTTTCTCTGCATGTCCAGAACCTTCTTCAAAGAAGAAAAGAAAGAAAGGGGGGGACTTGAAATTGCTATGTTGCAGCTAACCCTCCTAAATGTCATAAAAAGGGGGTAAAGAAACCCCCCCTCGATCTCCAGTAAATGTACTGGTTCGGCAGCACAAAACGATTTGGGGAGAAACAATTGCACAGTTCGAAGGGAGACTAAGATATGTGAAAGTGACTTGGGAGCAACTTTAAAACTGAGATGAGTTTAGGAGTTTAGAAGTTCATCCATAGAGTTTAAGCCAGAATTATTTTTGTTAGGCATAATTGTAGGTAATTATGAGTGTATATATTTAATTTTACATTTATTAACTGCAGCAAGAATTGTATTTGCTCAATACTGGAAAAATGAAGATCTACCAGCGGAGGAAGTGTTAATTTAAAAAATCTTAAAAAGTGTGCAAAAATGGATAGATTGACATTGAAAATGAAAGAGAAAGAAGATTCAGTTTACTTTAGAACATGAGATACTTTTGATAATTGGCTAGAAAAAACGAGGTAGAGAGAAAGGAACTTAATATGTATTAGTAAGCTAGACATTGAAACCCAGACAGTATGTTGCTGGTAATATTTTAAGCACTTGCAATTATAAAAAACTAATATATATAAGAAGAGGTATTATTTGTATAGGCAAGGTTCAGTATAGATATAAATTATTTATTTTTCTGTCCTTTGGCTGTTTCGTCAAAACATTATATTGTATGTTCAAACAATGTTTCTGCCTTTAACTTCACCAATTTGGCTTTCAAAGAAGCAGAGGCTTTGTTGCAGCATTTTGTGACTGCCCACTCACCTTGACAACCAGTACTTATTGTTCAAAACCCAGATGTTTTCATAAGCCAAAAAAGGTTCAAAAACCTTCCTTCTTCTTGCAAAATATTGTCCCTTGCTGAAAACCAAATGCTCTAGGAGATATTTTGGACTGATACATGAAAACAGCTAAGTCCGAGGTATTAATACACCAACAGATTCTTTTTCTTAAAAAAGGCACTGACATTAAATATCACAGGTTACTTTGAAGAGAAACACCCTGTACCTGCTTTTTCATCTTGTTAGTGTTTATAGTTCTACTTTGCAATTCAGTTGCGATGGTTGCTATAAACTCAAAGGAGATCTGAAGGCTTATTTGGAGCAGGGATATGATCAAAACAGACCTGAAAAGCCCAACCAGGCTTGATGGTGTACTCACTTTGTCACACAGCTCTTCAAATGTAAAGTCTGCAATGGTTCCACATGCTTTATTCACTCTCAGTCCTCTGCCTTGTACTTTTAAAATCCTTGGTCTAGTTACTATGGGAACATGAACAAAGACTCAATCTTGTCTGGATAATTACTATAAAACTCATCTCTTACAGATAGGAAATGCATAGCTTGATGAATAATAGCACATGATTCAACACATAAATTAGACAAAATGCTGATACAATGGCTGCCACTTGAGTGTGGCATCAACCCATACACAGCAGTAGAACTTATTAATTGGTCAGTGGAGATTGGGCATTGTGTTCTAAATGTATTCTCTTTCAAGAGAAATTAACTTACGTACAATCATTTTGTTTTTGAGCCAGCTCATCAAACAACTTATCCATGACAGCCTCCACATCAGCTTCACTTGTGCTACAGTGAAAAGAATAATAGAATATGAAATTAATAACACTTGAAGCCAACATCAAACAGCTGCCTGAGCTTGCTTAGCTTTCTGCCCATATGAGAGAGAGAGAGACAGAGAGAGAGACAGAGAGAGAGAGAACGAACAGGATGTTATATTGTAAATACAAACATTAGATTTAGAATTCACTTAAAAAGCAGAGAACATTAACTCTCAGGTAGATAATTTCATTTTATTTACATTCATTGAAAGACTTCTACATTTCAAGCCGTCTCCATTAATATGACAATGCAAGCAAGGCCATCCATGCTGTAAATGCACACAATGAGACAGGCAGAGTTCTGTCTCTATCTTACAAAAAAGGTAAAAGCTGACTGATATCTGAGGGGGAATCCTTTGGAATTAGGTGTATTCATAACACACACAGCACTTGAAATAGATTGGAGTAAAACCGATCTCTCTTCTGTTAGCTACTGGAGTCCAGAATCAAGATTACAACCATAAGACATTTTAGAACAGGGGTCCCCAACCCCTGTCCATGGACTGATACCGGGCCATGCATGCCAGCAAACAGTTTGCACAAACAAGCAAAGCTCCATCCACGGGATGCAGGCAGCACACAAAACCATGCACCCTCCAGTCCGCGGGAAAAACCTCTCTCCACGAAACCGGTCCCTGGTGCCCAAAAGGTAGGGGACCTCTGTTTTAGAATATTTACAACTCTTCTGAATATAATTTAGTTGATATATTCAAGGAGTTTATCAAAAGAAGTCTTTTTACTTTTAACCAAAACTCACCCAATATTTACAGTTCCTTTTACCAATTAAAAAAATAAATTATGCAATACTTGGCTTAAAATTTAAAATGTGCTCAAAATTTAGAATGTAAAAGCAGTTGCTGAAATTTCCAAGCCAGATTTCTTATCAGATGTCTCTGGGACATCCATTGGTAGAACAAGAAGTTGTGTTTTAACCTTGCCATTATACAAACTTAAGACAGCTGTCCCTAGCTGGATTACCCTTTTTGATAAAAGACAATAAATTGCCATGTCAGTGTATATACTATTATATCCTTGTATTTTTCACTTCCTGGAAGTAGAGAAGTATTCACTTCACGGGAAATTTTGATTTCCTCAACTGTCTATGAGGGGTCTTTGGTCTCCAAGGACTGGACACAACCACAGCCTGGAGTTTTTGAGGATGTGCTGATGTCTAGAGTCCACCCCCCCCAATCTCCTAAGCGTCAACTCTACAAAAGATCATGGCTGCAGCCATTTTCCTTCTCATTTTAGGTTGCCACCTAGAATGGAGGGAGGGGGGTTGCCCAGGTGCTTCGCTAGTCAAAATAATATTTTGTCCCTTGGGAACCAAGGTTATCGGCTGCTCCCGAGACTAGGGACTGGGAATTTCATAAAAAGCCCGCCAAACAATCATATTGGGGAATGTACTTGCTTACATAGCTTTTATGGGTGGGACATTTAACTTTGTATTGGAAAATTGTTGCTTGTGATTGTCTGGATTTGTTTTCTCATTTTGTCTCTCATAGTTGAGGTCTACCTGTGATGACAATTACAGGCCTCTCTCATCTTTTTAAGTGGGAGAACTTGCACAATTGGTGGCTGACTACATACTTTTTTGCCCCACTGTGTGTGTGTGTGTGTGTGTGTGTGTGTGTGTGTGTATACTATAAAATAATATGCCATCTTGAGTTATTTGTAAAAATAATAAAGGCAGGATACAAGTAAATATATAAATAAATCCCAACTTCACTCCCTCATACACTGCCACTTAGAAAAGGGTAGAAGAGAACAATTTTCTTCTTTTCTCTTCATCCTTAGATGGCAAAATATCTTGGCCGCTCCCTGATAACCAATACTCAGAGGTATAATATTTATTTCTTTCATTAGATTTCCATTTCATCCTCCTTCAGGTGTTCATGCAGCATATATATGATGCTCCCTCCTTCATTTTTCTCAAAAGCAAAAATCTAATCACATTGACTGTTGAAAAAGGAAGTGAAAGTCATCCAGTGGCCTCTACTGTTGAGGATAAACTGGACTGTGTATATCCCTTGTCTTAGTGCAACACCTTAGTCATTTGTCACATTGGTTCCTAGATGTTAAGAATGGCATCACCTTCATGATTCCTTACTATTGCAATTTTTCATGCCCGCACAAATTATGCTTGGTGACAACTATTACGTATTAGGCTGATAATGATAACAATCATGCTTGCTGGGAATTGTAATCCCAACATATCTGGGACAAAATACACATAAGAAACATGTTAAAAGTGCGACATTAAAATTAGCTTCCTATAATTCTTGCATAAGAATTGGCACGCAATGCCGTTTCATCGTATTCTAATATATACTACACTGTAGTAAGATATAATCTAGCCTCAGCATATCTTAAAATGACTCCTTCCAAAAATATGCTGTGGGAAATCCATTGGCGGGTTAGATGGTAATACAGTTCGTTTAGTGACTGTTTGAAGTTACAACGGCACTGAAAAAAGTGACTTATGATCGTTTTTCACACTTATGACCATTGCAGCATCCCTATGTTCATGTGATCAAAATTCAGATGCTTGGCAACTGACTCCTATTTATGACGTTGAGAACCACTGCCATGACCTCCTAGAGCAGTGGTTCTCAACCTTTCTAATGCTGCGACCCCATAATACAGTTCCCCATGTTGTGGTGACCCCAACCACTTATACATCACCGGGTGCCAGGGGTGTGGCCAAAGGGGGAAAAAATGGCGAACAGCCTTGTTTGGCGACCCCCGTGAAATGGTTGTTCGACCCCAAATGGGGTCCTGACTCACAGGTTGAGAACCACTGTCCTAGAGTAATATGATCACTTTTGCAACTTTCTGACAAAGTCAATCGGTAAACCAGATTCATTTAACAACCATTTTACTAACTTAACGATCACAGTGATTCACTTAGTAACTATGGCAAGAAAAGTTCTAAATGGGGCAAAATTCACTTAACAACTGTCTCGCTTTGCAACACAAATTTTGGGCTCAATTATGGTCATAAGTCAAGGACTACCTGTATTAAAGATACTTATTTGTTGCTCACCAAAAATATAGATTTGTAGAATATTTAAATAGTAGTATAGATAGTCCAAAGGAAAGAATAAAGAGTTGGAGAACAACTTTTTGCTAGTGGAGAACAATTTTTTTAAATCCTTAAAAGTCATATAAAACAATACCATAATAAAAGCCAGAAGAAGATTGATTTTTGTATTGACTTGATTAAAACCACTTTCCGTTTTAGATGTTGGAACAACTTTATATCACATATACTTGTATTCCCAAATTGCTCTGAGGGTAAACTATCATTAGGGAAACAGAAATCAGAGCTATACAGATAAATTGTACTGATGGTTGTATTATAGCTTCATTTTTATCATTATCAGAAATACAGAATTCTGAAGTCAATCAACACTCTAGATACAAGAGGATCATCTGTCAAAATAAGACAAAGTTTTGAATCCACAAATGTTAACACCAAATAGTAAATGAGTCCCTATTTGTATAAATAATTACTTTACTACAATAAGGATGCTCGTTTATTTACCAGGGAATTGAACACTCTTTGCAAGAGGATATTCATTGCTTTATAACCATCTGTCACTTCCATTCTGCAAGCACCACACCTCCCCCCCTTCTAATTAGTCTTAATTCAGTCACACATTTGAAAAAGATGTTATTGGAGATACTGGAAATATCTGATGGTATGAGCAATGTCTTTAGGGTTTATAGCAGTTCCCTATAGGATCAACTTGGTTCCCTTTTCTTCCCCGTCTATAAGTTGCTGTGACTGTAATAAAATGCACCGAGTCAGTCTTAGTTTCTACCTACAGGTAATAAAGCTTTCCTGCAGCAGGCAGTGCGCGCTTCCTGTAGTCTATTCCAGAATCCAGTTGGATGGTGTTGCAGTGTTTCTGAGCAGAGAAACAAAAGAAAGGTGGCATTACTTCTCTTAATCAGATGCTGCAGATGTTACTTTGCGTTTGTTGTTCTCCCAACAAAAATAAGCATTTATGTAACATTACTGGCAAAGAAAAGCGCATCCGAGGCAATAACCTGTATAAATGAAACTTGCCTGTCAGAAACTTGCTCACAAAAGCATATATGGAATTCATATGCTTTTTAAAATAACAGCCGACACCGAGGTTCTACTACATTTATTATCAAAACAATAAAAGAAGTGCAGTATTAAACATTATTTTCTAAATAAAAAGGCGGGTATTTTCTTCAAAATTTTACTCAGTGCCCCAATTTGTACTTCATATATATCTTCCTGCCATCTTTTCTTTTTTTAACTATTAAAAAATAATACATCCTACAGAAATAACACATGTATTAATTTGGTCTCTCTTTGGGTAACTGACTTCTCCATCATAGGACTGATTAAAGCCTACAGGCATGATTGCATTCCATGCTCACTAATCACCATCAGGGATTCCTAATCAGCAGCTAAAGAACTTTTAACGGGAGTCTTTGTATTTTTGCCCTTAATTTTCAAAGCTACAATCCTAACAGTTGGTTTACATTAAAATCTTGACATGCTTGTATTTTGTCTGATAGTGTTAAAAGCCTATTCTCATCCCCTCAGAATTGGTAGCACAGTCAAATGGTGGAGTTGCATGTAAGTGTCAAAGAAACAATTCAGTTTCAGATATGAATTATGACTTCTTACCTCATTTAGTCTCAATGCTATGAATTATTCAACCATTCAAATGATGATGTGTCGGTTTATTACTTAGATATAGCATAGTATATTGTGTGTATCATTCAATCAATCCTTAAATTTAATTAGGATGGTAAAAAAGTTCTCTCTCACACATCAAGCATACAAAAAAAGTATTTTCTTTTGAAAGGCAAAACATATTTATAAAGCTTTCCCCTCAGCTTAAAAAAGGTAGAACTAGTGTTATATGAGTAACAAACACAGTGGTGTTTAAATTAATATTGCTAATAGTGCTATTGAACATATTTTTTTCTCTATAAAATAGCAGTGAATCTCAAGGGATTACTTATTTTAAATGTTTTGGAACTTTAGTAGAAAATGAATTTAGTTAAGTCCCATCACAGAGTCTACATTTCTGCTAACCATGCAGAAACACAAACATCTTTCAAATATATCAACAGAAAGCTTCTTCCTTTATGTTGCGATATATCAGATATAGCAGTGCTGTAATATAATGTCTTGATTCATCAAACAAACAGACTTGTTCTTGCTAGCCTCTAGATCAGGGGTATCAAACTGACGGCCTGCAGGCGGGATGCGTCACACGTAGGCCACACCCACTCCGGCTCCGCAAAGACAAAAAACATCGCGATACATCAGATGACGTGATCAAGTTTGACACCTGTGCTCTAGACTGTGTCCCAGAGACTGCAATAAATATTCCCCAAGTCATTGTTTTTCCAACTTGGCAACTCTAAATATGTGGACTTGCTGGGGGGGGGGGAATTCTGGGAATTGAAGTCTACATATCTTAAAGTTGCCAAGTTGGAAAAACACTGCTGTAGATAATCCATGGTGAAATATGGGCAGAGTCAAGTTTTCCAGAAGCGAACCAGCACATAACAGTGCTAGCATAGCACTAGCGCCTCTGCTGTATTTCTAGATAAATTCAATAATGTTTTTTATTATTAAAAAGTTTTATAAAAATTACAATATTAACCCACCCAAACCCCCCTTCTCCCTCCCCCATTTTCCAGAGCTGAATACAGGGTTACAAATATGATAATCATAATCTAACTAACACTACCAACTATATAAATAACCAAATCCATAATGCACTTTAACTCCCCTTTAACATAAATATAAGCAAATTAAAAGTGAACATAATAATAATGAGAACATAAACAAATTAATATCCTAATTATTAAATAATACAGTCCCCAAATAGTTAAACAATACTAATACTAAAAATAATAATAATTTCATAATACTCTAAAATTCACTCGTAAGCTAAATTAAACTTTTTAGTCCCATATTTATTCTGAATATAATTTATCCATCTTCTCCAGACCGAAATGTATCTTTCTTGTGAACAATCCTTCAAATAAGCAGAAATCTTAGCCATTTCTGCTAAATTTGACACTTTAATCATCCATTCTTCTATAGTAGGCAAGCAATACTTCTTCCAATATTGCCCTACTAATAACCTTGCAACTGTTATCAAATTCAACATCAAATTAATTTCTTTAACATCACAATCTGTAATAACACCCAATAAAAATAATTGTGGGGTAAACTTTATCTTTATCTTAAAAATCTGTTGAATGTTCCACCAGATCTTAATCCAAAAGGCTTTTATATTTCTACAAGTCCACCATATATGAAAATAAGTGGCTTCCAAATTACCACATCTCCAACATTTGGGCTGTAAATTAGGATACATACAAGACAACTTTTTAGGATCCAGATGCCATCTATAAAAACATTTTATAAAAATTTTATCTTAAATTTTGTGCCTGGGTAAATTTTACATTTCTAACCCAAATTACCTCCCATGTATCCAATAGAATTGGTTCTTGAATATTTTGAGCCCACTTTACCATACAATCTTTAACTAATTCCGTTTCCGAATCCATTTCTATTAAAACATTATAAATTCTCTTTATATGCGCTTGATTTTGATCTTTAATGTTTTACCAAATTCTCATCCATTAAAGTAATACCAACTTTTTGATCTAACTTCCACCTAACCAACAATTGATTATACTGAAACCAAGATTGTACCATATTTTCTTGCTTTAGTTCAACTAACAATTTTAATTGCCAATCACTGCCTACCAATCTAAGTAATTCTTTATAAGAAAACCTATCCAAGTTCACACCCCTGGATACTCCCTCTATCGCGTGTCCAGGAATCCCCCAGATTGGTATTTTATAATTTAACCTATAATAATACTTCTTCCAGACACGCAATAAAGCACTTCTTAAAATATGGGATTTAAAAACCTGATCTACTTTTTTATCATAAATTAAATATGCATGCCATCCATATAGTAAATCCCATCCCTCAAGAGAAAGTATATTTATACTTGTTAAATTAAGCCAATCACTAATCAATGTTAAAGCCACCGCATCATAATATAATTTCAAATTAGGCGCCTTAAGTCCGCCTCTTTCCTGTACATCTTGTATAATCTTGAACTTAACTCTTGGTTTCTTGCCCGCCCAGATAAATTTATTAATACCCTTTTGCCATTCATCCAAATTGGCATCTTTTTTCAAAATAGGTATCATTTGAAACAAAAAAAGAAACTTTGGAAGAACATTCATTTTAACCGCTGAGATTCTCCCCAACAAAGATAATTGTAATTTTTTCCAATCATTTAAATCCTTTTGCACTTTTACCCATAATGTCTCATAATTATTTTTGTATAATTTAACATTAGAAGCTGTAATATATACTCCCAGATATTTAACCTTTGAATTCAATAATGTTTTTACAGTTTTTCAAATACCCTCCAAAGAAGACTAGAAAACTTGGTTGTCAGTGATGCTGGATTTCTAAAAGTAGTAACAGAAAGTACAGACAATGCAATAAATAAAATAAGAATTTAATTTACATCTTGCAGTACATTTTCCCATTAAATGCATACATCAGATTTGTCAAACTTCATTAAAAGAAAAGGAAAGGAAACCTAGTCCTCAACGGACATTTTTGATTGCCCTGGAGTTGTCCTAAGCTCTGATCATGAGCAATGTTAACTTGAACTTAATGCAAGATGCGAATCAACACACCAAGAAGGTTCAGAATATACACAATATGCTGGAATTAAATACCAAGGGAGATGAATAAAATTTACTGAATTTACTGCCCTGTAAGCCAACAAGTATAGTTTGGGTTTTGGTTGGGAAAACAGCATTTTGGGAGCTAATCTAAAGAAATGGCAATGCATGAAATCCTATTGATGTTGATGGGCATCTGAGGCTCCTATGGTGCCACTTCCTCTCCCTTGTCTCCACTTTACTATAGAGCAGTGGTTCTTAACCTTTCTAATGCCGTGTCCCCATAATACAGTTCCCCATGTTGTGGTGACCCCCAACCACTTATACATCACTGGGTGCCAGGGGCGTGGCCAAAGAAAAGGGGGGAAAAAATGGCGGACAGCCTTGTTTGGCGACCCCTGTGAAATGGTCGTTCGACCCCAAATGGGGTCCTGACCCACAGGTTGAGAACCACTGCTGTAGAGAAAACTATTTCCATTGAGGAGTTGCCAAACTACTCGTGATTATAGTTTGTATAATGTACCAACACTATAGATTAAAAGGATGAAAATATACAGCAAGAGAGAGCAAGACATTGGTTTCAGAAACTTTGGTAACAGTTTACATACAATACAGTAAAAGTGCTAGAAAAGACATTATGCTCAATTGTGATTCAAATCGCTATTAAATTTTAAATGCATTTGATTTTTATATTATAAAGGGCTGTTATTTAAGAAATTCTTGTCCAAATTCCCAGGATTCACTGTTGTAGCTCTAGTTATAAGGTTGTGCTCTTGAAAGTATCTTGAGTGCAATTATTTTTATATGATTTTAGAAAAGATTTAATGGGCCTTATAAAGGGTCAGCTTGATGGCTGGATTAGATCCAGAGTTCAGAGATACCTCATTTTTGCTTCAGCAACTAGATTTCTGGAACAGGGGAAATCCTGAAAAAAGTATTTTTATTAATGTTGTTTGACTGGTAAGTGACTGAAAGTTAATGGCCATATGACTGTCAAGAGATAAATTTTCCTCCGATAACCAACCATTCCCAGATTCTTAGTATAGTTTGGGGTAGAGAAAAATCCATTTATTTTGTTACTGTTCTGTTCTGACACTATACATTGTCTTGAATATGGCTTATTGTATTAAAAATAACACACAGACATTCAAATAAGCTAGTTCAAACCATATCCAATAATACTTCCTG